GGAACATTTTCAAAAATTAAGTTGAAAAAGTTATTTTTTGTAAAAAAGTTACTATTTTAAATCCTCCCAGTGAGCAGAATAAGTGTTAGATTTTCAAAAAAAATTATATCAAATGAAAGGGAAATATCTAAGGTTTCAATACAAAAAAATATTATTTTTATTTGTTCATTTTTGAAAAAGTTAAGGGAGTTTTAAGTACAAAAAACATTCCGATAAAAGGTGATTTTTATCGTAAAAATTACATTTTTTTTTTAATTTCGACAGCCATTTGCACATAGAAGATAACGTGTCGGGACAAATTTTTTTTTTTCATTTGATAGTACATAAAATAAGCTTTAATTTGATATATGTTTAAAGAACGCAGTAATTCCGGAACATTTTCAAAAGTTCAGTTGAAAAAGTTCTATTTTTTATACAATGTTTCAAAGTTTGAACCCCCCCTATATAAAGGGAAATTGTCCAATTTTAATAAAAAGTATGTCAAATGAAATATGTACTTATAATGTATTTAGAAAAAAAAAATTTGTGCTGATATATACATTTTTCAAAAAATTATAGCATTTTTAAGTTGAAAATTTAAAATTTAAAATCTAAAATTTTAACACAAAAATAGTGTTTTTTTAACTACGGCAGCCGTTTAAATGTAGAAAAAAAATGTCGGGACAAATTTTTTTTTTTCATTTTGTAGTACATAAAATAAGCTTTAATTTGATATATGTTTAAAGGACGCAGTCTTTCCGGAACATTTTCAAATATTAAGTTGAAAAAGATAGTTTTTGTAAAAAAGTTGCTATTTTAAATCCCCCCCATGAGCAGGTTAAGTGTTAGATTTTCAAAAAAATGATATCAAATGAAAGGAAAATATCTAAGGTTATAGTATAAAAAAAATTTATGTTGATTTGTTTATTTTTTAAAAATTTATGGAAGTTTTAAGACAAAAAAATGCAAAAATTGACAAAATTTACCGATTTTTAAATTTGTAATTCTTTTGGATATTTCCCCCATTTGCGGGGAACAAGGGAATATTTTCTATTTTTAAGGGTAATGTCTTCAACTAGATACGATTTGTGATCTTTTGACGTATTTTTGAAAGAAATCGGTCCAGTGAGAGCTGAGAAAAAGTGGCAACAGACATAAAAAAAAAAAAAAAAAAAAAAAAAAAAAAAAAAAAAAAAAAAAAAAAAAAAAAAAAAAAACACATCATAGTAAAATTAATACCTTCTCCGCTTCGCATCGAAGCTAAAAAACAAGTAATTGTTGCGAATATTTGAGTTATTCTTGTATTTTTTATAACAATTGCTGAGTATTCATTGTGAAAACATCTAATGTGCGCCAATAGTTTTTTTTTAAAAATTTTTTTCTTAAAACTACTATAACTTTTTCATAAACTAACATAAGTCATAATAATTTTTCTTTTAATTTGACTATTTACATGCCCACAAGGGAGATTGAAAATAGAAACTTTTTACAAAAGTCAATTTTTCCAACTTAACTTATGAAAATGTTCCAGATATACTGCGTCGTTTAAACATATGTTAAATGTTATCACTTACATTTTATACTATAAATGAAAAAATATTTTGTTCTGACACCTTATCTTCTATGTGCAAATGCATGCTGAAATTGAACAAAAACTATAATATTTCTGTAAAAAATCACCTTAAACTCTGGTTAATACTCAACTCTGGTTATGGACTAGAACTTAATAAGATTATAATAATTAAAATAAAAGTCTATTCTTAACTTCGTAATATATAATATTTCGTATATAAGGCGAATTAGATATGAATGACCCTTATAACATTAAAAACTATCATTTCAATGTATTATTTATTT